AACATCTTGAGGTAGCCCTTTGTGCATCTGAATAATGGGGGCATACCGGTGCAAGTTGCTTGGCTCGTGGTCTCGCAGCCAGAGCGTTAGCAACTGTGTTCTCCCGTGAACACAACTGTCTTGTCGTCGCTGGTTCTGACGATATGCCACAGCCTTGACATAGTCAGGCTGCCGAGCAGCACATACGAGCTACTACATTCTGGGTTGTTGCATGTGGACTCGCCGGAGGGGATTCGGAGATTCTGAGACTGGGACCGGGACCGCGACCCGTAGAAGTCGGCTGAACTGTGCACGTTCCACAATATATAGCAGACGCCAGCTATAGCTACATCTTAGTCTAAATTACATGCATATATTTTGGTCGCTACATTGCGCCAGCTCTCCCTACTCACCGCGAACTCCTGCGCATACTCGATTTCCAGCGGATGCACCCGCTTCCCGACGATAACCAGGCTATGCAGCGGCTCCCCAAAGGCCTCTGCGGGCTGTGCGCTAAGCTCAGACAATGTGCCAGCGACGATGCGCTCGTTCCCCGGTCCACCACCGACGCGCGAGACTGCAACCGCTAGGGTGGTTTCCGGGGATAGAATGCCAGCCTGACGTTTTTCTTCGACTTCGATGAGTTGAGACACGGCTTGCGGGATGGACATGTATCGGGGCGGCTCGTATATCTTTCTCCCTCTACATACAAGGGAGAAACAGAGTGAATAACGGTCGTGGCATTGAACATCAGATTACTAACCGCGCCAGGTTCTCTTCGCTCTGTTCCTTGACTTTGATATCGAGCAGCACGAGCGTGTGCATGCCCAAGTCGACGTTCTCTCTTATGCGATCGTAGAAGCTGTCTGGCCTCCATGTTTCCGTGAAGAACACGAGTGAAACCGTCTGCCCGAAATTGTACAACTGGAGACCACACGCCCCGACCGCGTTCATGATCGAAGCGTTATGGATGACTCTTGTAGGGATCTTCAGGGCGCGTGCGCGGAGTAGCATGTCCGTGTGCGTCGTCGCGCTTCATATTCATGGAAGGAGTCTGTTATAATTTCTGGGCATACGCATGCAAGGTGATACACTCACCCGAACGGATCCCCAACGACCAGCAAAGACACGTCCGCTTGGTCCGCATCGCGCAGGATCTCGTCGCTCTCCGTCTCCACCATGTCGCGGTCGGCGAGGATCAGCCCCTTGCCGTAGAATGCTTCCTTCCCTTGCATCAGACTCGTCAGGGAGACGACTCCGGCCATAGCTCAGGCTCTTCGTACCAACCGGTCTTTCTGCACCATCAGGATGCTCGTGTAGGCTTCCAAGTATACTCGGGAGGAACCCTTTACGGCCTGTGTTTAAAAAGTCTAGGATCAGTATCCTGTCTGCGACAATACCAGGAGTCTTCACTTCGAGTCCGCGAACGGTTATGTCTTTCTCATCGCAAAGTCCCAGTCCTATGATATAGAACATAGCAAATCGACTTCGACTTCAGTATGTACAGTGGTAGAGGCAGAAAGCAAATCAGGAGCTTCGTCCACGACGCCGGGCGATCAATCAACTGATCACTGCTGCCGTTAGTCGGACGCGTCTTGGTAAGTCCATCATACCACTACCTCCGAACGAATATATACATAAGCACCCATTTCCCCGCTTTCTTTGTCTTTCTTTGAGAGCTGAGGTTCTGAGCCTACCAGGCTACCGCACGGGGGCGCAAAAATGAGACCCTTCATTATCGAGCAGCTCCCCGTCGACCTCCTCTACCCGATATTCGAGGAGCTCGACCGCAAAGACCTCCACTCTGCTACTCTTTTGTCGAAGAAGATCAACCCGGTCGCGACGTCGATTCTTTACCGCACGCTAGACTCGCGCACGACGCTGCAGAATGGCATAGTACGAATTCCGGAAAACAACGAATGTGGACCAGTTTATATTGATGACTTGAGTGTTTCTTCCTCCCTTGGATATGATCATATAGCCGAGAGTCCTACACCCTGCGACGACCCTTCTCAAACGCCCAGAGCTGACAAAGTGCGTCCGGCACGTGAGAGAGCAAGGTGAGCATTCGAACGCACAAATCATACATCTTTTCGTTGGGTCGGCAGCTTGAAGCACATGATTGGAGCAGCAAGGACGAGTAGTAGCGAGTCTACGAGCACCACATCACGCTCCATCTTGCTTGTATCCTACTGCCACAGGAGACAAGCCACGAGTCATAGGCATAGGCATCAGGTCCCTGTCGGCGCTATGACAGCCTGAACTCGTTGGAATATGTTAGAGCTCGAGCTCGTATGACTTGTAGTGATACGGTAGCCCCCAACCGGACGACCTAGGGCCTTCAATATTAGATCTATGGCCGCGATCGAGCTTACCACTCACCCCTCACCCACAGGTTCCATTCTAACATACTACCCCGACACTCTGGAGGAGTCGCTCGCCGCGCTGAAGCTCTGCACCAACCTACACACCTTCTCCTGGATCGATGACACGTTCGCGGAAGATACCTTCCTCTCCTTCCTTCGCGTCCTCAAGTCTCTGCCATTGCAAGGCCTGACCATCCGCACCTCAGGCGACCTAGGCGACACCGTGTGGGCGAAGCTTCAAGCCCTGACGGGCCTGCGCAGGATCGCCATCTGGTCGATGGAGGGCCCGCCGCGCGTGCTCAAGGGCTGGGCGCAGCACCTCTCCGGGACGCTCACGCACCTCGAGCTCGGCGTAAGTTCCTTAACCCCTGCTGAAATGCTTTGAGTGCTCATGTCCGCGACAAACGCAGAGGTGCGCAGGCGTCCCCGCGACGATCCTTATCTCCGTCTTCTGTCAGCTCCCGCTCCTGGTTGAGCTGCGCCTCAAGGGCGCCCCGCCCGCCGCGATCCCGCTGATCCTCTCGTACCTCCCGAACCTGCGCTCGCTCGACGTCGAGTACCTCGGCGCGGGCAAGTACCGTGCGCCCACCAAACCGCTCCCGCGCCTCCGGACGCTCGTCGTGCGTACGTCCTCGATGGACGCGGACGGCCCGAGCCACCTCTGGCCGTGGATCCTCGAGCTCATCCCGCGCACCGGCCTCGAGAGCTTCACGCTGCACGCGTTCACAGTGCTCGGGGGGAGCAGCATCCCTCTAAGCTTTGTTATCAGCTTGCTGGAGATACACGAGAAGACGCTCAGGCAGTTTATGGTTGGCACGACGCACCTCCGCCTCACGGACTTGGAGCATCTATGCGGGCGCCTCCCGGCGCTCGAGGATCTGGCGTGTAGCGTCGCCAGTGCGGACGCGGTGAGTGGGACATGTTGGCGTTCTATGTGTAAATAAGTGTGCGACTGACTTCTTGGAATCAGGCCGCAATTGGGCGCGCTGTAGCCAAGGCAGACCACCTCCGCTCGCTCAGGTTGCAGGTGCTCTGGCTGCCCAGCACGCATATTCAAGGGATTGAGCCGGCGCCGAGGGGTGGTGGGTCCTCCGACGCGCCATTTTCGTTGGACGACGCGCGGGCGATGATGTTACGCAGGAACTCGCAATTGAGGTTGATTACGATCGGGCCCGTCGCGTACAAGGTGAGCTATCATGAATCATGCCGGATGTGAGCTGAATGCTTGCTGCTCCGGCGCAGGGGATGTGGGTGCCAAAGTACGAAAGCGACGGGAAGGTGAAGTTGGAGTTCGAGATTTCCAGGAGCCACGATGGGTATGGTACTTAGGTTTTGAGTAGAGAGTACGGGGACATACGGAGAGAACTGCTGTCTGACGCAACATGTTATGGGATTTTGCACTTAGGTCAAGGGGCATAGTGCGAGCGTCGAGAACATGAGGATATACATACAGATGATGGAGTGTGAGGTCACGTCTGCGACGGCTACGCACCTCTGCCTCTGCCCCGCCCGCCGCGCCCTGGTCCTCCTCGGATTGCTCCGCGTCCTGGCAAGATAAATGTGAGATAGCACGAAAGGGAACTATATGCGCGGTCTGCGTACCTCTCTGTACCGCAGGACGCCCTCGGCCTCCCGAGCCGCTGACATGCGATCCCCTGGCGCTCCGCCCGGCTTCCCGAGCCTTATTTTGCTCCTCCTTCACAGCATCCAACAACGTATCCGGCACTCGCAGGTACTTTATCTGCGGAAACCAATGAGTCTCACTTAATTCGGACACGTGAGGGCACTGACTGTGCTCCCGCGGATGTAGCACTCCTTCAGCTTCCAAAACCTATCGCCCTCCGGGTTCGTTTGGTACACCTCACGAAGGGTGATGTTCATGAAGTTGTCGCAGTTCACCAGATGGCCGTTGAACGTCTCGCCGTTCTTCAGCTCAACCAGCTGGAGCGCGGTCAGCGCGTGCTTGCACAAGGGCACGGGAAACGCACCATGGGCTTATTTTGGGCTGCATTGAGCAGGGACAAAGGAAGCTACCTATAGCAGTAAGACTCAGGACCAGTCTATGCCATGAGTACGCGTACCATCTTATTGCAGTCGACGGCAACCGGTCAAAGGAGCATCCAAGTTTGGTTCGCGCAATTGTGGCCGAGAGACGGTGGCTGACGCCGCTATGTAGATCTGATGGACGGTGATCCAACACAGCGCCGAGCGACTATTACGCAGCCTATGCGCGTTCTTATCTATACCCTCTGCCATTCTAACTCAATCCTGTGTTGAGAAACAAATATACTCTCTAGGCTTAGTCCGTCTACGGAGGCATCACGGATGTACTCGGTCTGGTGCCTCAGGCTTGCATTGGGGCGAATCTCCTTGTTCCGCACCAAGCGCCTTCCTTGACAATCCTGAGACCATCACAGTGAGAGAATGACTGCCAGTATCTAACCATGCCCGGTCTTTGGTATAACAGAACAATCAGCGATGCACTGAATTAGCATTGCTATCCTGAGATGCTCCACAGTAGGTACTAGTGCGGGACAAAGTAATAGCCTGACACATCCTCCGTCAAAGAACTGTTTATAGGCTCATTCGCGCTCGACTGCCATAGCCCCGCCCTGCCCCCCAATCCATGCCTCCCTCGACATCTGGCCCCACCGCGAGACCTGCCAGGGCCAGACCTAAGGCCTTGAAGGAGGATATCAAAGCTGCTTCAAAGCTACTGTCAGACAGGGCAAGAGATCTCAAGGATATCCCGATTCCCAAGATGCAGGAGACACTCCAGCAGATGCTTGCAATGACACAGAAATGCCAGGTGAGTGGCAGACAAGAATCATGCCAGTATGACCCTTCACTTGTGTATAGAGGGCCAAGAGGAGCTTACTTAATGACCTCACTATCTGCACCTTTCTTAATCACATCAATACCCTGGAGCAAGTGATATTGTGGCCCATAGTGAATGAATATAGAAGAGCAATTATTGGTTTCACGGAGTACTTGAAGAATGAGCTGTATGGTATACTTGGGTGTGTGTAATTCTTCCTCATGATTATGGAACTGTGGTGAACGTTCATTATCAAGGAGTATATCTGATGTAATTTCCTATAATCTTCCCCAATGGAAGTTCTGGCAGCTCAAGGCTAATGTATATGAACCTTTGGGAAGAGTGAACTCTACCATGAGTGAGATATTCCAACACTTTAAGGTCTGTCATTGCAATGGTACTACTGGATCAAATGTTCTGAGGGACCTAGGCCAAGGGGAGGATTGTGCTGATTAGAGTCAAGTCACCAACAAGTGATGAGAGGTGGAGTGAACTTGATCTACAGCAACCACAGGACCATCCTGCCACAGTGAGTGTTGTGCAAGGATATGGGGAGACTGTGAGCCTGACCATGATCTACAAGGATTCCAATGAGGAGGACAATGCTCAGGAGAATGATTCAAGCCCTATAATTGGTATCAATGACTTGGAACCTCATATTAATGAGGTATTCCGGGTTTGCCCTAGGTATGGTCATGCAGTATAGCCTTGATATTTACTGATGTACTGAACTTGACTAGATTCCGTATCTTGCTTCTAGGCAGAGTGTGTAGTTCTCTCAAGTGTCATAATCTACAATGCTCAGCTACAATATCTCTAGTCTGGTGTGGGCAAGTCAAGACTCATCAATAGAATCTTCAATATCACAGAAGCAGTTTGTCCACCCACTGTTGAGAACAGATTATATTCTGACTTCGGCTGTAGGAGGTCTCTCATCACCGTGCTGGAACTGCAGATATAGAGAAGGAATTTACATCTGCACAGAATCCCCGTTTTGTATTACATGATTCCTATGGCTTTGAGTATGGGAGTGAGGTGAGGCTTAAGGGGGTAAAACGGTTCATACAAAGCCGTACAAAAGAGGACCAGAAGCCATCTGAACGACTACATGCTATATGGTATGCTGACAGCTTTATGTCTTAACCCCACTTACCTTATATTGAAGGCTTTGTATTGCTGTACCCTCTGGTGGACAACGTCTTCTGGAGACAGGTGAAGAAGAGATCTTGAAGATGGATTTGGGAGATGGTAAGCACTATGCTTCAGTATATAATTATATATCTTTAGCTGATGAAACTAATGTATCCCTAGTACCACTGGTTGTGGTTTTCACAAAATTTGACCTCCTGATAACAAATGCAGAGATGGAGGTAGATGCTGACTGGGAACCTGAAAACCCACATTGTCCAGTTAGGGCGCTGGCAGATGAAAAATATCAGCAAATATGCAGATCTCCCCTCAACAATGCTCTTAAGGCACTTGGCAGAAGATCACCATCACAGCGGCTACACCAATGTGTCTCAGGTATGTTGATAGTCCAACTTGTGACTTCTGTATCTCATGTATAATCCATTCAGTTGAGAAGAACTATGAAAATCTGCTATCCAATCTTATCCAGATTACGGCCAAGCATGTCAGTCCCAGGGCCTGGGCAATATGGGCAATTGCACAACAAGTTGATGCAGAGATGAGTAGAGATGCTGCAATTGAGTGCGTCACAGTACCTGAAAGGGGTCAACCTTCTATACTCACTGTTTGCAGGATTGGAAGACAGAGTATGTTCCAAGCATGCCTATAGTTTTGACAATTGTTCTGATTAGAACAGAGTACTGGCCAGCAATTGCAACAGCACTCTATTTTAAGGATAGGAAGCTGAAGAGTTGTTTGTGGGCCCTGCATGTTGATACAGTCATGGCTTGGAACTTTTATGATCCACACAATGTCTGTCTCTCAGCTGGAAGTCTTCATCACTAATATCTGACATATTCCATTCTAGTGTCTTCTAAGTTCAACCATGTTGGAGCTCCTGTCAGGGATCGTGTCTGACCTTAGGCACAGCAAGGAAACTGGTGCTGAAGCTGATTCAAATGAAGCATCGTGAGTGTATAATTATTAAGTCCTTCCACATATCCCTGTGTAGTGACTATCATTCAGAGAAAGTGATATTCAAAGTACAATAACAAGTGGACTTCAGGCAGCAACCATGGCATTTTCTGCAACCACTGTGTCTAGCATGTTACCTGCAACTCTTTTATCTAGCATGTCACCTGCAACTCTGGCTGTGGTTCCTCTGGCTCCCATAATATTATTAACTCGGTGGATTTACGATGCTTATGAAAAGAGGTGTGTAAAAGGTTATCATCTGAGCATGTATACCTACAACTAATTTGACTTAACATTAGTCCAACTGTTGTACAATGCCTAATGGGTTACATCTTGGACCTCAACTTCATATTATGGAAGTTATTCTGGATCATACGGAAGAAAGGAGGTGTACAACCTCTTACTGAAGATATTGTGACCAAGTGTCTTCAGTCATTCAACATATCGGAGGAAAGACTACGGATTCACCAGGCAGTCAGAAACTTTATACAAAGTATGAAGGGAGTGGAAAGACTCAGAGCAAACACTGTCATTGATGAAGTGGTAAGACTGCTGCAAGAGTTTTGCCAGGAGCCATCTGAGTCTGATTGACATGTGATCTTGCATATACTCTTATTTGCTTGACCCCCAAAGTCCTGTCTTTTAGTTATTACTAGCTGTATATTACCATAGTGCAGTCTTGGCAGCATCCTCCTGAATATTTCTGTGCTACTGTAATCTTGTCACTGGATCACTCCCTGTTAACTTCACATTTCATGCTCTGCTTTTCTTTTCCTTTGCAGCAGAGCTTCATTTTATCTTTTCCTTAGTCTATGTCATCACCCCTGTTGTCAGCCTCTAGTCATGATGAGCTACATAGCATGGTCTATACAGTTTTGAGTGATCTGAGTCTTAGTGAAGCCTGTCAGGCTTATGGCTACACCACAATGACCTGCTCAATCCCCTCCTTACAACTTACATAGGCTCTTCATGCCAAGATATCATCTTGTTTTCTGATCTTGGCGGAGCTGGTCCACCACGGATCACTTCTACTCCAATTCCTTGGAGCCTTGATCCTCTGGACAGCCACTGGATATTACATATCTGAATGCACACACATAACCTGTCTATATTCCTGCTGGTGTGGAAGGTGAAATTAGTAGTGTCATCAATTCTAAAAGCTACTGTATCTCCAACACCACCTTTTGTCTCCCCACCATATTGTGCAGATTGTGCAACCTTACTTGAGAAGCACTGGCTACCAGTGGATGTATACCTTGTGACTTATGCTGTTCAAAGTGCACAATAAAGCCCCCCCTGGAAAAGTTGCTCACCCCAGCACTTTCCCCAGTAATCAGGGAGTAGCAGTGTAAATGACTACAATATATGGTGTAATCCTGTCTCACCATAGGTAAGAGTGACAAGTGGCAGCATCACTTCCCACAAATATGTGGTGTATGAGTCTCATGATGATATGCACTAATACACAACAACCACAAAGACCAAGGAAAATAACCCAACACACCCAGTGGTATGGGTGGAGGCAGTCTAAGGTGACTGAATGGTAATAATAAAGTTCAAGGGTGAGGGGAGGAGTAAGGAGACATAGGGGAGTCCGTAGGAAGACCTAGAATAATAAAATCAAATCTTGAGGCCTAAAACAAACAACACTATGATGCTCCGGAGTATTTATGTCTGAAGATCACTAAAAGACCAGACCACAGGCACCAACACCTCTCGTAGGATTGTGCACGTGGGGTAGTACTTCTCTAAAGACATTTTGTTAATCTTATCTCATCGAATCACTCACCGGAGCTAATATTCGATGGCAGAGATATTGAATTTGATGAGTCAGGCCTACTGGCAAAGCTAGGATCAATTGTGATTTGCTAAGTCTGACATGTCCAAACTTCATGGGTTGCTGAGACTGTAACTCTGATATGCTGAGATGGTGAAGAACAACCTTTTTTTTACTTTACTTTACATTGTACATTTTATACTTCAGAAATGACCCTGCGCCGACCCGGAGATAAATAACAAATAATAGCTGCAACTCCCTAACCGCTCAGCACTCCTCTGCCGCTATACCATGCGCCATACGACTCCCTTGTCCCTCCATATGCTCGTCCTAGCCCCTAGAGGCTGTCCTGATGCATCGGTACCTGTCCTGATCCTTCCCATCATGCTGTGTGACATGCCAGTCACGTGAAAATTAACTCCGGCTGCTTGCTGACTGATGCTGGCCTCACGGTTGTGGATTTATGTCCGCAAGCTCAGTGATTTGACCGAGACAAAGGGGAGGAAGTGCTGGAAGTTGGGCGTGAGGATGACCCACAACTAGACAGGTGCCCATGGCCAACAGAGTTAATTCATCTTGAAGTTGCTTCCTGAGTCACTCCGGAGTGCCTGACCTCAGATCTAACTCATCGTAGGCATTTGCACTGGCCTCGAAGACGCTAGAAAGTCCAGAGTTAAATTGAAAAATCTTTTGGAAAAATCCTAGCATAGGGGCATGTGAGTGCAATGTCGAATGGACTCCAGATGAGGTGGGTAGGGACATTGAATTCATGATTTCTGGGGTCAGACGATCCTTGAGACTTATCAGCGGCAGATGGGTGTTGAGCCATCAAGGGAGTTATGGCCAGTATTTTTTATTTATCTGCAGGCAGTGACTCATTGAATTCAATATCTCTGCCATTGAATATTAGCTCCCATGAGTGCTGATTTAAAGAAATAAAATTCACAAAGCGTCTTTAGAGAAGTACTACCCCACGTTGATAAGCCTCAGGATTGTCTGTCCCCCGAAAACATGGACTCAGCACATCATACAAGCCCTCTGGAGCTTATTCGACACAGCACTCACACGCCTCTAGGCTTCCATGGGCTCTAAAGAATTGCTCTATTTAGCTCCGGACTTCCTAGCATCCTCGAGGCGTTGATAAGCCTCGGGATCGTCTGACCCCCGAAAACGCGGACTCAGTGTATCGTACAAGCCCTCCGGAGCTTATTCGACACAGCGCTCACACGCCTCTAGACTTCTATGGGCTCTAAAGACTTGCTCTGTTTTAGCTCCGGACTTCCTAACATCCTTGAGGCGTACACGGACCCATTCCACGATTTATCTCCACGAACAGGAGCTCCGGAGCGACTTAACCAATGCAACATCTAGATGAATTAGCTCCGGGGCCCGTGGGAACTTCTATCGAGGGGCGTCGTCCTCATGCCCACCCTCCAGCACTCACTCCCCCTCATTTCCGTCAAGATACCGAAGGTGCGGACGTATACGAGTCATCATGAGGTCAGCATCAGTCAGCAAGCGGCCGGAGGTAATTAGCACGTGACCGGCGCGTCGCACGGAGTGATGGGACCGCTTGGATCAGGTGGCAGAGCATTGAGGCGACCTCTAGGGGCTGGAAAGAGCAAGTGGGAGCACAAGAGAGTCGTATGGTGTATGGTATAGCGGAGGAAAGTGCTGAGCAATCCTGTGGGTAGCGGTGTTTATTTGTTATTTATCTCCGAACGGTCGCAAAGCCATTCCTGTAGTATAAATTGTACAAAGTAGCATACAGAAAAACAAGTTTCGACTTCACCATCTCAGAGAATTAGCGTTACGATCTCAGCGACCCGAGAAGTTCGAAAGCGTCGAACTTAGCGAATTATAACCGATCTTAGCTTTGCCAATAGGCCTGACTCGTCGAGTGAATTAGCTCCGCCATCGATTCAATTAGCTCCGGTGCGTCTCACATAGCAAAATAAAAATTAAACAAGTCCCTTTAGCGTTTTCTACTCCCGTGGGCCCGAACCTACACTCGGTTCCGTGGTTTGCGACTTTGTTTGCGACTTTTCGGAGATAAATACTCCGGAGCGTCCATTAGTGTTTGTTTCAGGCATCAAGGTTTTGTTTTATTTTTCTAGGTCTTCCTACGGACTACCCTAAGGCGTCTTACTCCTCCTTTCCCCCTCGAACTATTAAATACCCTTCAGTTGTCTCGGACCGCCTTCACCCATATCACGGGGTTTAGGTTTATTCCTTTTGGTCCTTGGTGATTGTTGTGTGTCAGTGCATATCAGCGTACACAGATCCATTCCACGATGTATCTCTGCGAACAGGAGCTCCAGGGTGACTTAACCAATGCGACTTTTAGATGAATTAGCTCTGGGGCCCGCGGACGCTTCTATCGAGGGGCGTCATCCTCATCCCCAACCTCCAGCACTCACTCCCCCTCGTTTCCATCAAAATGCTGAAGGTGCTGACGTATACGGGTCACCATGAGGCCAGCATCAATCAGCGAGCGGCTGGAGGTAATTAGCACGTGACCGGCGTGTTGCGCGGAGTGATGGGACCGCTTAGGGCAGGTGGCAGAGTGTCGAGGCGACCTCTAGGGGCTGGGACGAGTAAGTGGGAGCACAAGGGAGTCATATGGTGCATGGTATAATGGCAGCAAGTGCTGAGCAATCCTGTGGGTAGCGGTGTTCATTTGTTATTTATCTCCAGACAGTTGCAAAGTCATTCCTGCAGTATAAATTGTACAAAGTAGCATACAGAAAAATGAGTTTTTGCACTTCACCATCTCAGAGAATTAGCGTTACGATCTCAGCGACCCTTGGAGTTCGAAAGCATCGAACTTAGCGAATTATAACCGATCCTAGTTTTGCCAATAGGCCTGACTCGTGAGTGATTTATCTCCGCCGTCGATTTAATTATCTCAGGTGAGTCCTACATAGTGAAATAAAATTAACCAAGTCTCTCTAGCAATTTCTACCACTGCTGGCATGATCCTATGACAGGCGTCATTGCTTGCGACTTTGATTGCGACTTTTCGGAGATAAATACTCCGGAGTGTCAACTAGTGTTTGTTTCAGGCATCAAAGTGTTTGTTTTATTTTTCTAGGTCTTCCTATGGACTCCCCTATGTCATCTTATGCCTCCCCTCCCCCTTGAACTTTATTATTACCCTTCAGTCACCTTAGACCACCTCCACCCTCACCACTGGGTGTGTTTGGTTGTTTTCCTTGGTCTTTGGGGTTGTTGCGTGTTAGTGTAATCCTGGTCTGGATTACAACCATGATTTGACTTCCAGATTTGGACTCCACAACTATTTGCATTCACTATGGAGCTCATTGCTCTTTTGCACTACTTAGCTGTTTGGCTATCAACCATGGTCCTGTCTTTGCTTGCATAAGCCCTGGACCCCCAGTCAGGCTTGGCTGGAGAGCCAGCTTACAAAGGGTCATGCACCAGACACATTGTCCTAATCCTGTATGCAGTGGACCATACAAAATGAATGTGGAGTGCTAACTCTCCAGGAAAGAATGCATGTATGCAGACACATTTCCCATGATACTGTGGGACTCAGCTGAAAACACAATACCCACTAAACCTCCTTGTGGTTCCTGCGGGATGGTCCTGTGACCTGTGACTGAAGGCTGGCATCTGCTGAAGCAGACCCAGGGCCAGACTGGCATATCTACTGAGCCACCAACACCCAAAACCATTGTTATTACATATGACCTTCTCATCCTAATCTTACAAGGGATATAATTGAATGATGAAGATGAAGAATTGCTAAATGGGGATTTGAAAGAGTATCTACCATACATTAGGAATTCTTGAGGGTTAGAGACTATGATTCATCTATTGTAGATTGAGAAATAATATGAAGATGATGAGGAAAGAATCATACCCGGTACTTCCATGACAGCTCAGTGATTCTCAATGCAACTTCCTTCAGTTGTTCTTCACTTTTGTCCCTGCGTGACTTGAGAACCTTGACCCAATTCTCCCTTTTCTCCCATGCCTGTTTGATCTCTGTATGCATCCCCTCTAGCCGTCCTTGACCTCTGAGTACTGCTAAGACATGAGCTGCACGGTGTGCAACTTCTACATGTGTGGCATAGATACTGCAGCAGCCAGCTAGAAGAAGTTCTTGAATTGAGAGTATATAATGAGGTGAACAGGTCTACAGGAACATAAAAATACCTGCAGTTATAATCACAAAGGGGAGACTGTGTTGATTCACAGTTGCATCCTTAGTAAAGGCAGTTGTCAAGAAAAACTATTATTATATATGAATCATGACTCACTTTTATTGATAATGATTGACAAAGTGACTATCAATTCCCCAGTAAATAGGCATGGCTGGGGTATAAAATAAATTAACTACTTGTACCTTGATGGAGTTTGCAATTACACTGGAATACTGGAATTAGGGCCGCAACAAGGTTAGCACATGGTTGCTATATCACCTATGATTCATGAAGAATATGAACTTACACCCTAATGACCATCCCAAGTGCTTGTTATAGAATCCACTCACTCAGATCAGAAAAATACTTACAACCTGGGGATAATAACAAGGTTACTAGTAATAGTAGGTTTATACATTAGCTTGGGCACTTACAACCTGCAACAATAAGTACACAACTGTGATAGGTGAATGCTCAGCGTGACAATACCCACCTCCTATGTAGCAGCCATGCACCCATTAGTTGATGCTGGTGGGCATATCACTAGCAAATTGAGTAGTCCTTACATACTGGAAATGAGAGAAAAGAAGGCTAGTCAGCTGGTATGCATCTATGACCAATTGAATGAGAATATTTACACGCTAAAAAGGAACATATGTTTCATATACTTTTGGTGTTGTTGGGAAAGCTATATATTACTCACATGCTACCAAAGTGTGAAAAACCACTTATGTGGTAGACCTCATGATTATTGGTTGAGGAACTACACTCACATCCTATGAACAAAGTAACAAGCATCTCAGTTAATGTATGCCACCATCTTGCATAAAGCAACAATACTTGCACTCTGAAATGAAGTTATAGAGTAGTTAGTTGACACCTGTATAGTGTTAGATCTGAAAGCTTTTACTTACATACTGTGATTGATTTAACAGGTTAGTCAGCTATGCAGCTTTGACTCGACTATCTCAATGGTGCTTACATACTATGACAAGAAGGTCAGTGAAGTTAGCCAACATGCCTCAGCATACATAGGCAGATACAGAAGCTTACACCCTGAAGACATTCATGCCAATTAGGTCAATATTATCAGTATTATCAGAGCAGCCAGCACAAGCCAGTACATACAATCTGTTATTTGAGTAGTTCAGTCAGTCTACATGTCATTGTACTTGACAACAGGGTAAGAATACTTACAATCTATAACACAAAGCATCAACCAGTCAGTATACATACCCTTACCATGACCAACAGAGATAGTATTCACATCCTAAGTTCAAAGCCACAGGTTAATATCTGACATCTATGCATTGTTAAAACTAATAGCATATACTCACACACTAATAGCAGGCATATTCTCTTAGTCAAGTCACACCCATGTGTATTACTGGAATATACCACATACTATAAGAGATAATTATCAAAGTTACTTCATCAAGGACCACAATGAAACTCTTACTGCCTATAGGATTAACGTGTAAAAACTTGGTCATAAGCTGGAGGATTTCAAAAGAAAAGAACTGCTGACTGTCAGCCAATGTTATTATACCATATAAGTGAACTACCACTATCTGCACATTAGTGGGAACACAAGCCTAATGGGTGATAATATGACTTACACCATACAAAAGGAAAGTATATGATTCCCTGTGTCATAAGTGCTTCTACATCAATGTCTCCTTTCTTGGATACTGTTGGTGACGATTCAGTTGGAAGATACTTGAGAATGAAAACATAACACACTGGGCTTCAAGGATAATATTTCCCTATCAAACCATGAGCATTTTTCTCCAAGATCTCTCAGCATCCTAGTATCATACCTGACAGCATGTTCTGCTGCTAGTTTATCTGCGACAGTCTGCCTTGAAATAAAAAATCTCTTCACAGCAGCATCATCTAGAACCTCTGCTGTGACTCTTGACAGCTGATTGCAGTTCCCTTCTGGCTTGTGCATATCTAGCAGATCAGGTAAGACATCCAGGCTGTCACATCCTGCCCCACATCCTTACTTACCTCGCAGATACACAATTGCCCTCGGTGGATAAGGTGTATGCAGTATATCCTGTAATTGTGGAGCAAAGCAGGTCTCTGCATATCCAGGTGCTTCTTCCTTAGCTTGCAATCTGGTCCGGCCCTGATGTCTCAGAAGATTATTGGCTTTCTGGATCTGCACATCCCACTTGGTGAAGATGACAATCACTGGAACTGTCACTCCAATCATTAGCTGTGTATCTACATCATGAGAGGTACATACTCCCAAATGTGTTATGCTTGAAGAGTTCCAGCTCAGGTTCCCCGAGGACTCTGTCCTGGCCAGCAGGGATGCAGAACCTTCATGAGAGGCAGGTGATCACATCCTGCCATGATCACACCAATAAATGGACTGAATTCCTCACCATATTGCATGCAACCTATCAGCAAGACTAAGCTCCCCTGACCGCTGATGGATGAACTCAAGCATGATGTTGGACTCCACAGTGGAGCCCGACTCAAAGCCCATGGAATCATGGAAGACAAAGCTTGGATTACTCTGGTACGTGATCTCGTGGTTTATGACATGCAACCCACGCTACAGTGCACAACTCGTAAGCCACGGGATACTACTACATTCCTTCTTTATAGCTAGACCCTCACTCACCTGGGCACTCGGGTTCAATGTTGATGATGACACCTAACCCGGGATCAGCCCTGCTTTGTACAGTACAAGCTCGTGACTTACAGTCTGCCCCTGGGCATTGCGGACCACGGCCTCCTCGTCAGACTGGCAGAACTTCTTGATGAGCGTTGTCTTTCCAGCATTCGCAGGGCCGACAATGAGGATCCGGAAGCGACTGCAAACATGGCGAATGATAGCAGGGTCGAGGCCCTGGCTGCCAGCAACAACTTGGCCGGCAATGTCTATGTCTCTCAGAGCTCCCTCCATTCTAGATTCGGATGCGGTGGTTGCTTCGGTAGGCATCCGCAAGGACGTGCTCACAGCAGAGTACGGGATAGCGGGGGCTGGCGAAGCACCCAGCGATAAGGGATAGTCGGGTCTATAAAGCGGACTATACATAGACAGTTCATCAAGCGTCTGACGTCGCGCTCCCACTTACAGGGCCCTGCTGTGGCAGGTATGTTCATCCGCTGTTGAGACCTTATACCTATCTAGAACACAAAGCCCGGCGCTACCCTTATCGGCTAGCGCAGAGGCTAAGAGCGTGACAGCTACCTCAGTGGCGTCGGGCATGGCAAGATCTGAGTCGTTCCACGGATGAAAGCGATTGCAGGGCGGTGTTGAGTAGATGAGACCTGCGCAGCTGCGTACGAGACACTGGAAGTAGCCGTGGAGCAGTGGGAATATCGTCCGCACTCCACAAACCATCAATCGAATGATCTGTGTGAGCGCGGGCTCGCCATGCGGGTCGTACGTGAGCGCTCACCAGGTCCTGGCAACCATTGGCACGCAACATCACGAACCCGCAGCAACAGCCTGGACTTCTTCGAACATCGCCCAGCCAATAATCGCGCAACACCTGATCGAAAGCATCCTTCAGCCTAGCGCCCGGAACCAAGAACAACGACACCCACATCATTCTTGAATACGCCCGTCCTAAGGCCATGGGGACAGACAGGAAGTGTGGGCCCCGGTGAGCACCAAACCCATGTAGCTGTGTTCACGGGACACCAACTGCGACATTGCTACAAGTTGCAATGGCGCAGTAGGAATAACATGCACAGCGTACAATCTAGGGACCGACATCTGAGAGTAAACTCACCATACGCGCTCGCTCACCAAGCCCACCTAGGCACCAGCAGCCATCGCCTGGAACGCGTCCCGGAATTCCTCAAACGTCGTGTGACCGATAATCGCGAACAGGACACGATCGAAGATGTTTTTGAACCTGGCGCCGGGCGCACACAGCAACTCCGCCCATATCCTGGCCACAGTCGCCACATCGTTCTTGAACACGCCCGTGCCAAAGCTGCCAAGGACCAACTCCGCTACGCCCTGCTGCTCGAACAGAAACAAAATCCTACCCATGCGCTCTTTCATCGCGCGTGCGATCTTCGTCTCCTCCGCTTGGCCGGCAGTGCGGCCCCACAGCGTATTGCGCGCGACGCCCGCGTTGACCGCTGCGCTCGTGACGACGTCGACCTCGACGGGCGGGAGCCACGCGCCGGCGTCGTCGCGGACGAGCGCGACGCCCGGCGAGAAAACCATCGCATGCGAGTAGTACCCGCCCTTCCCGTCCTTATTGTGCAGCGTGTAGAAGCGCTGCGCGGGCTCGGTAAGGAGCGTCGGGTAGAGATTTGACGAGCGCGCGAGCGATTCTTCCTGCGCCTGTGCGCCGGTGAGAAAGCCACCGCCGGGCTTTTTCGCGGAGGCGAAGTTCAGCACGCCGATGCGCCCGTCGCTGGAACGGCCTCTTTGGGTGAAGAGGAGCCGCGCGCCGTCGAGCGTGGATACTTCGAGGAAGGAGATGTCGGTCGATAGCGTGCCCGGCGGGACGAGGCGCGGGGCGGTGGACCATGCTGATAAAACCGCGGAGTCGGGCGGGTAGTAACGTGTATTCTGCGTCGAGAACTGCGTGCGTCGGAGGAGGGAGTACGTCCGGCCGTCATCCGAGGTGTAGGACCCTGCTGAGACGGCGTCGAGGGTTTCTTCCGCGAGTTTACGCAGCCGCGTACGTCTGTCGCTGTGCGCCGGGCGGGCTGGGGATGTCATTGCTCTAGCTTTGATGTGTTTTGGCCTGGGTTTCGTCCTTGAGATGAGGGTAAGACGGGCCACGATTAGGAGGTTTGGACGTCAGCCTGCGATAGTTCCTGCATCGCCCCGCTTCTCATGAGGTGACACAGTTCTCGCTACCGAGCTCGTGAAACTCACGGGTAGAGCGACTACAATCACCGTCATGCGAACAACAGTTTCTAGGCAGGGTCCTGGATAATACAACCTGACTACATGACGATTAGCACGATGTAGGCTTCGCAGCTGCGCAGCGATGTCAATAGTAAGCCCACGACGACGTCGAAAGCTGTGGAGATGGGGTGTAAATTGACGTACACAATCACAAGTCCTCAGAACAATGCCTCAATGCCACATCATGCATCAAGCTGCATTCACTGCCAACGTCGCGCCGTACAGAATGCAAAGCTGCATTTGGACGGACAGAGAGCGAGCAATAGGGGAATTACCAAAAGCAGCTGCAATAGCACTTTCAACGCTCTTGCCAGTCTTGCCACAACCCTCTATCGCCTTGCCATTGCCTGGAACAATGTCGCAGAACAATTCCGTAGGCTGGTCGTGGGGACCGCATGCCCGCCCTGCCATCAAGCAGGGCGTGTTTGCGGCTCTTACGTCCGTCCATTCTTCTGGAACACCCCATATAACATGCGGCCAACACGTGTGATGCGCCGTTAACTCTGCACGAAAACCCGCCGTCTCTTCGCGCAGTACCACCACCCCACCCCTTCATTCCACCCACCCATCGCATCCGCAATGGCGACACGCAACGGCGACTCGATGCCCGAGAAGATCAGGCGGCACGACTCGTACTACATCATGACCGGCGATATCGTGTTCTTGGTATGTGGGCACTTCATATACTGCTTAAATTAATGGGCCCGGGGCCGACGCTGATCGTGCTCGTCACAGGTCGAGCACCATCTCTTCCGAGTTCACAGATATTTCTTCGAGCGCGAATCCCCTGTCTTCCGAGAGAAGCTCGCGCTCGCGACGCCGCCCGGCCAGTCGCCGCGTGGGACGTCCGACGCGAACCCCTTTCCCATCGAGGATGCAACGAGCGTCGACTTTTCCCGCTTTCTTTGGGTCTTCTACAACCCGTGAGTCTCGCGCTACCTCCTTTGCCCCGCGTATATCGACTAATACCCTGCAATACAGCCTGTACTCGCTGTACAACGCCTCCATCGAAGAATGGACCTCCATCCTCAAGCTCGCCTACCTCTGGCGCTTCGCCGAGGTCAAGAAGCTCGCCGTGCGTGAGCTCGAGAAGCAGTACATCGCGCCCGTGCCCAAGATCGCACTTTACAACCGCTACGACGTCGACCGTAATCTCCTCCTCCCGTCCTACTCTGTCCTCACCACGCGCGACGAGCCCATATCGATGGCGGAGGGCATGGACTTGGGCCTCGAGACGTCGCTGCTGCTCGCGCGGGCTCGTGAACTGGCCAGAGGCAAGGAGGGCCGCCGCGCGAGCTCACCGGTGACGATCGAGGACTCGGAGGTGCAAGGGCTGCTTACGGACGTGTTCGCGCTCAAGGACGTGCCCTTCCGCCCGACGTCGCCCGCCGCCGTGCGCGTCGACACCTCCGCCATCTCTGCCTCTAACACTACCGCTGAGACCCCAACCGGCACTAACGCGCCCGCGACCCCCGCGAACGGCCTCGCTGCGAAGCTCTTCGGTGCGGGTGCCCCGCAGAGCCAGTACAACTCGAATCCGGCCTCGAGCCTGTCCCCCGGTGCGGGTGCGGGCTGGGGGTTCTCCGCGGGGCAGAACCCCAAGTCGCCCACGAGCACAACGACGACACCAGGTGCGAGGGTATTCTTTCCCACGGTATAATGATTATTCCGATGACTGACGCGGCGCATGCAAGGTAGCGGTGGCGGTAGGAACAGCTGGGGGAACCGCAAGTGATCTCCCCTTGACTCCCACGTCGAAGGAGGAGGGGGCGGAGGGGGTGCGGGACGTACAGGCTAACGGAAAAGATTCACATACAACTACGCAAAATATCGGAAACGGACACGGACTTGGAGACGGCTCTCTTGTTTATACGCACACGCACGATGTAACTGGTAACTGCAATGGTGATGAACCTGGAAAACTCGATGTTTCTCCTACTGGCGACGACAATACCAACATGCAATCATATACGCAATCTCAATCTCAATTTCAAGCTAGAGCTGGCGCAGACTTGATCGAATTGGAACTCGGGGGCGCGGGCTCGAACCCGGTGAACGAGAACGAGAACGCGGGCGCGGGCGCCGAGGAGAAGGAGGCGGGCGACTCTGAGGAGAATGAAGCGCCGGTGGTTTCGATTGCTGGTGTGGAGGTGAAGGACGAGGAACCGGCTGCTGGCAGCGAGGAGCCGTCGACACCGACAGGCCTCGGTGGTGATGACGCAGGGCGTCAGGACGGCGGGGAGAAGGCGAAGAGCGAGGAGGTGGCTGGCGGGGACGGAGACGCCAAGGTTCAAGAGCCTACAGCGACGGAACCCGAGCTCGGCGCTGCTCCCTCTCAGGCTGTTCCCTCGCCTCAATCTAGCGGTGCTTCGGAAGAGCAACGGCAGGACGACCCAGCGGACGACAAAGACGACGGGAAGCAGAGCGCCGACCAGTCCTTCGCGACCGCTTCAGAGCAAGCTGAGCACAAGCCAGACTCGCTCCTTGTCCCCGGCACCCAGGAGGAGAACGCCACCGACGGTGAGGCCAGCGACGCGACCGCCGCTGAGTTCGAGGACTGGGAGTCGACGACGGAGGGCCCGCTAGGCGAGGACCAGGTCTTGGACGAGCCGGAAGCGGCGCCCGAGGCGAAGGACCAAAGTGGACCGTCAGAGCCTGCGATAGCCGCATCCGGCGAGGATGAGAACAAGGCGCAAAGCAATCCTTTGGGAGACGCTGAAGGTCAAACATCGGAGCCTATGGCGGCAGCAGTCGACGTGCGACAGGGCGAAGACGAGGACAAGACGCAAAGCCGCCCTTCGGACGTGCCAGAGATCTTGATTTCCACTGCGGAGAGCCCGACGACTACCCCCGAGGCCTCTGGCGATAACGTCGATGCGACCGTCCCTACGGGAAACACGCCCACGGCCGAGGTGCCTACTCCAGAGGCGTCGACCACGACAGAGGTGGAAACCACGGCTGTCGACAAACCAGAGGAAACGCAGGACCAAGAAGTCGTCGAGCCCAGCGCGGAGAAGGTCTTGCCCGCCACTCCAATGGAGAATATGTCTGAGGCAAAGGTCGAGGAAGGAGGGGAGTCGGGGCTGGGTGACGAAACCCTCTTGGACGTCGATGCTGAACCTAGTGCCGCTGCGAAGTCGCCCGAAGCTACCTCCCCGAGCGCCGATGCCAGCTTGGCCGCTGCTACTGCCGATGCGCCTGCAACACCAAATCCGGACGGTCAGCCAGAGACTCCTTCGGCGGTCGTCCCCGCGCAGGCGTCTAAAGAAACTCAAGGAGATTCCGCCGCGTTGCCCTCGCAGCAAGCTTCGCCTGAGAATCAGGAGGCGCAAAGTAGCTCTTCTGGCACCCCCGTAGGAAACATTGCTGAGGCTGCAAGTGACGATCTCGTCGCCTCCGTGGATGTAAAACAAACCGAGGACCGTCTTGACGCTGAAGCTCTCGTATGTTCGGGCGCCACGCCCACTGCGGAGACACCAGTGGAGACTGCTGGCGAAGGTGCGCCCGAGGTCGTCGGTGAAGCTGCTGAAGACGACCAAGTGAATGGGGAGGAGGAGGCTCAGAACGAAGGCGCAGAAAAGGAAGAAGGGACTAAGCCGGAGGAAAGTGTTAATGCTCTTGAAGAGCGGCCGCCCCCTAGCCTCAAAGGCAACGCTCTCAAAAAGTGGAAGAAGAAGCAACGGGATCGGGCTGCTGCACTAACATACGCAGCAGACGACAGCCGGCCGGCTTCGAGAGCCGAGCCGCAGACCCCGGGTGGTGGCGACGATGACGAGCAGGGTTGCGGAAATTATAAGCAAGACGAAGCAACCAAACAACCGCAGGAGTCCGGAGGAGGTGCTATTGACGAGCAGCCCCAGGCTGCTCGCAAGGAGTTGAAGGCGTGGAAGAAGCAGCGGGAGGACAAGAAGGGTCAGGCCGCCACACCAAACGACACTATTACCTCTCCAGGACCATCCAAGGGAGAAAAACCTCCGTCAAACCTCAAAGGAAAGGAGCTGAAGCAGTGGCATGAAGAGCGAGAGCAACAGCATAAGCCAGCAAAAGATGGTAAAGGTGCTCAGGACGATCCCAAGGGCAACACGGACATCAAATCCTGGATCAAGGGTCAGAGGAATAAAAAAAGCGGTGAGCCTTGTTACGAGCGACCGCGTTTGAGACTCGATATTGAAAGCCTCTAGGACGTCCGTGACAGTAGTTCCGTAAATCTAAGCCCGCCTAGACTGGACGACTCTCGACTTCTCGCATTGCATCTTACACGTACACGCACCTCTATAGTTACGTACCTCTACGACACTAATGGTCTTACGGTCCCCGACGAGTCTTATGTATATACCATGACAATGATGATACCGCTGCGCCTGCTGGACTTCGGGACAAAAGCATGGGTATCTAGACAGAAATCGCCACCCTCGGCGTGGTCGCGCAGCATGTAACAGGTTTCTTTCCGGATAATGCTAAGTAGCTTGGACGCCTACGGTGTGCGCCCCCCAACCCTATTCCGAGTCCTGCGTTGTCTGCGCAAACCGCAGTCTTACCCACTAAGATACGTTTTAAGCAATGTCACTTTGCACTCGAAGATAGCTCTTACCTCCTCACACGAGATTGGCTCATACTTGGCCGGATGGTCATCATCCATACAACTCGGTAGCACCCCACACGTCTCGTTGAAGTTGAATCCTATGGTTTCCAGGTCAGTATTGGTTCCTCGTGAAGCGGCACATCCCACAGAAGCTGAAAACCCACCAAAAAAGAACGGCATCGAATATCTCTCCCTCATACCCGCATTCTTCGCGCGGTGCACAGTCGACACAAAGCGGTCATTCGTAATCCGCATCAAATAATCCCCAATATTCACCACGAACGTCCCCGGGATCGGGCGCGCATTTATCCATTGCCCTTGCCTATCCAATACCTGCAGCCCACCATTGTCGTCCTGCCACAATATCGTGAAGCACTGCAAATCTGTATGCGAGCCGATCGACACCGCGTCCTCCTTCGCCACCACATCAGCCGGCAGCGCGGGGTAGTAGTTCAGCGCGACCGCGGCGTCCGGGTGCGACGTCTTCTCGTCGAAGTACTCTTCGGGCAGGTCGAGCGCCAACGCGAAGACGCGAATGAGCCTGCGCGCGAGCGCGAGGCACGCGCGCCAGTACGCGAGCACGGCGGGCTTGAACTGCGGGAGGTTGGACGTGTGCTCCCAGACGTACTCTTCTGCACGGAAGCCTGCGCGGATGTGTGCCGGGATGGCAGCGAGGTTGGGCACCGCGGGGTCATATCGCGGGTCGTACCGCATGCCGAAGCTTTCTCTGTAGTCTGCGGAGTAGCGCGCAGGTGGAAGGAAGGAGGGGCGGGGGTGAGCGTGATGGGGAGAGTCGCGGGCGGGGCTAGGACGCACCGACCGATTCCGTCTCGTTCACGCGCGAGCTCCCCGGCGCGTTCCAGCCGTTGAACCACTTCGACCGCTTCTGGTTCACCCTGTCCTTCACTTCCCGCGGCTGCCCGAAGAACCTACCGCCCGCCCATCAGCACACCCCACTCCCCTCGTACAGCGTCCCACTTCATAGCACTCACATCTTCGCCTGCGCCAGCGCATCGTCCACCACCGCCTGCGGAATCCCGTGCCCCGTGATGTAGAAGAACCCGATGGTCACCGCGGCCTGCCTGACCTGCTCCGCGACGGCCTTGCGCGCGGCGAAGTCGCCGTAGATGCCGGAGATGTCGATGATGGGGATGTCGTCTGCGGAACAGTCGCGCGGGGGCGCGTTCAGGACCGTGCGGTGGACGGGCCCGTAGGCGGTGCGCAGCTTGAGCTGGTGAGTCTCGACGGGGGCGAGGGTGGTGGTGGCCATCGGGGGCGTGATGAGGGTTCGACCCGTGGATGCGGCGCATGATAGTCCTTATCAGCGTACAGTGCATGAGAGTAGAAGAGCACGAGTGCATATCTGCCCTGCCGTAACCATTATCTGAATCCTAAAATAGCACGAGTTAGGGTCCGGAAGACAAACCCAAGGGCACAGCGGGGTCTCATAGCACCCCCGCAGACATAACAACTGGACATTCTGTACAATCTGTTATTTCTGAGGGTGTGCAACGAGGAAGCTGCCATGTGTGGTCTTCGGTAGAGGGCACGAACAGACAGAGCCTGCACAGTAGGCCACATCAGATAGGATCTGGTAAACCGGGTGCATCTGCGGACAAAGGCGTGTTCCTTATAAGCCATAATGATGAACGGTATGAAAGCCGCTTACGCTGCTGCATCGAATACGCTTATCAATGCCAATGGGCAACTTGAGTCAGTGAGTGATCATGACGGCCAGCGAGGTAGTATCTGTATCCCAAACTAGCACGAGTTGGCGTCAATATATGCGCCTCTCCGTGTACATGTTCGCCACGCTGTCGGCCGCGGTCCGGGAGATAAACCAAAGCCATTGCAGCGTCTCAGAGCACACCCGCAGACATAACAGCTGGACATTGTGTACAATCTGTGATGTCTGAGGGTGTGCAACGAGAAAGCCGCCGTGCGGGGTGTCCGGTACAGGCATCGATGGATCGAGCCTGCACCGCTACATAACGCCTGATCTTGTAAAGCGACGAGCATGCAGAATATCTGTGGAGGATGTTGGCTGTAAGCCATGAACATTACAGAAACCACATACACTGCTGCATATAATAAACTTTTGCTCTCCCCCTTCTCACTAATCAACCCTCACCCCTGCAGCACCGGCCCACTCTTCCACCTCTGCATCGCCGCCGCCTTCTTCCCAGTAAACGCCTCCCAAATCTCCGCATTCGCCCGCTCAAGCGGCACCTCCTGCCCCCTAATCCGCGCGCCGCGCAGCTCCATCCAGTACTCCCCCTCCCTTCCGCGCAGCCGCAGAATCACCTCGCTCATATCCCTGCCGGGGCTGAGCCTGCACTCGCCCAGCGTCGTCCGGATGCCGCTGGACGCGCCGTGGACGGGCGTCTGGATGAACACTTGCGCAGAGTGTGAGGGCGACGGCACGATGTACACCCTGCGCACCGCGCGCCCGCGCAGCCGCACGAGCGCGCTCGCGAAGCCGAGCCCGACGGCGAACTGCCCCGCGGCGAGCGCGAAGCGCTGCCAGGCGGGCCGGAGGACGTAGTTGGGCTGGACGTGCGCGTCCTCGCCGGCGAGCTCTTTCTGCGCGGGGTCGGGCCATGTCCAGTGGTTCCAGGCGGTCTCGGCCATCGAGGAACTGCGGGAAGAGGGGGATGTGAGCAAGGTGGAGGTGGGGAAAAGAGGAGGGCGTACCAGAGGAAGAGGTCCATGCCGACGAGGGGCCATGTCCAGCGCGCCCACCACACGGGCTTGCCTTCGTAGACTAGATGTCGTTTGGTGGCCGCATCGAGGAGGGTGGACGGTTGGCGGCCGAGGAGGCGGCGGGACCACGTTCCAAACGCAGACCACATGCGAGAGGGAAGGAACTGGAGTGCGCTCAGCCACCGCACAGTTGCGGTCAAGCTCATATGAAGGCGCCTTGTTGTAAACGTATACTCAAGGCGAGTCTTGCCGGCATTCACAAACTTGAACAAAATAAAATCCAACAAAGTTTCGCCCGAGTCCGTATGCACGTAGTCAAAAATATACTTTCACTATAGTAATACCGCGAACAGCTGCAACTCGAACCACTAGTACCCAGCCGCGCCAGGCGCCGCGTCGCCCTCGCGCTTGAGCCGGAGCAGCACCTCCTTGAAGCGCGAGAGGTCAGTCGTGCCGGGCCCCGTGCGCGCGAGCGTCTTGCTCTGCGAGTTCTGCAGCTCGACGAGGTCGCAGATGCGCGACCACGTCGTCCCCGCGGACAGGCTCTCCTGCATCGCGTCCAGGAACTCCGCCTCGTGCTCCCTGCTCGGGGTGAGTATACGCGGGCGGGAAGCGTGGCGAGGAATACGCACTTGTTCTCCCGGATCTGCCGCTCCTTCTTTGCGTTGTAGTCCTCGTAGAACGAGTCAATCGCGCGTTCGGCCCGCGCGATGGTCTCCTCGCGCTTCTGCTTCGCCGCCTCGTCGCGCGCCTTGATCTCCTCGGCCTGCCGCTCCCGCCATTGTCTGCAGGCGCCTAGGTCAGCCCTATATCCATGACGGATCCAGTGCACCTACTTGATCACCTCGGGCTCGTCTTCCTGCAGCTGTTGGTTCAGGATGGGGGTGGAGGTGTACGGCGAGGGCTGCGGGCGGGGCGCAAAGGTGGGCAGGGCACCGAACGTCGGCTGCTGCTGTGCAGGTGGGGGAGAGAGTGTTTGCTACATAGATCCCAACAATCCGGTCAGACGGGGTATATGGTATATAAACTACAACTGCAAAACGCACCTCTGGAACCTCGATATCCGGAAACTGATCCTCAAACTTCTCAATCTCATCATCCCCCGTCACCTTCACCTCCGTCACCCTCTCCTGCGGCGGCTCGAAGCTGTCAAAGTCGAACCCTGTATTGCTGGTACCGCCCACGGTCGCGGCAGGCAGCGGGATGTCGCCCTCGCCGTCGAGCGAGATGTCGGGGAACGCAGACGCCGCGCGGTCGACGTCGATGTCGCCGTCGAGCCCCGCGCCGCCGCCGCCGCCCGCGGCGCTGCTGAACTCGTCGCCGAGGAGCTCGCTCTCGCGCGCGAGGAAGTCGGTCATGGTTTGGTCGTTGCTGGCGGGCGTGCGTGACGCGTGCTGCTCAGTGTAGCTGCCTCGTGCGAATGACATACCCTTTTCGGAGTGTGTTTGCGAGAGCACACCCGGGCCTCGAGTCTTTCGAATTCGCAGAACCTCGACGGCGGGTGGGATGCCGCTGAACGTGCCCGGGATCCTCGTCCCCTTCCAGCTCGTATTCAAGCCCCGTCTCGTCCTCCCGCACATCGCCGTGAAAGGTGCGACGTGACAATAACCCCAATGCTACTGTTTGCTAAGACCCGCGTTACAGAAAGATATCCGCCGGCTCGACTTCCAGGCTCTGCGCGATGCGGGCTACCGCGCCGCGGTGTTTGACAAGGACAACTGCTTGGTACGTCTCGCAATACCCGTTTTTACTTCGGTAGGTGTGACCCGGATGCGCAGACGATACCGCACGAAGATACACTCGTGCCCGACCTGCAAGTGCGTTTTGACCACTCATACGACTACTGTCGGCGCTGACAAGAGTGTGTAGGGGGCATGGAAAGAGTGCAGAGACACCTTCGGCCGTGAAAACGTCCTCGTCGTGAGCAACTCCGCCGGGACGCGGCAAGACCCCGGCGGCATCCAGGTGCGCGCTTCCTCCCCCCCACCCCCCTCTTCCCATCTGACCCGTCCCCCCTGTACGCAGGCCGAATCCGTCTCCCACCACCTCTCCGCGCCCGTCCTGCGTCACGCGACGCCGAAACCGGGGTACGCCTGCATATCCTCCATCCGCGCGTACTTCGCCTCGCTCCCGCGCCCGCTGCGCGATAGCGAACTCGTCGTCGTGGGCGACCGCGTCTTCACGGACGTCGTGTTGGCGAACCGGATGAACGGTAGGCGCCGCTTCTTTTCGCGCCGGAAAGCGGAGGGGGGAGGGGAGGGGGAGGGCCCCCTGGCGGTGTGGACGACGGGCGTGTGGGCGCGCGAGAGCATGTTCATGCGCTGGGGCGAGAGGCAGCTCGTCAGGGCTGTTGAGAGGTGGGTCGCGCGGAAGCCGGTGCGCGACAGCGGGATGTTCGTCAAGCCCGATGTGGTGACGAAGGATGCGCAGGAGAAGAGGGGGATTACGAGCAGATTGCTAGCGCGGATGTTCGGCAAGCCCGAGCCTGGTGGGGAGGAGAAGAGGGGGATCGGGCGGAGGCTGCGGCATAAGTGGGGAAGGAGGATAGCTGTCGTGTCCTGATTGATTGATACGTGCACGCCGGTATATGTACGGGCTTTTGATAATGCATCCCTGCTCCCTCTACTCGAAAAATTCTCCGTGCTGCGCTGGTCGGTAGTATACAAAGGGTGTGCTCGGCGAAATGGGGGTACGTATCGGTACCAAACGCGATCACTACAACTTCGCCCTATCTTCTCTACTCCCCTCTCCCTCAGCAGACCTCGCCTTGATCCACTCAGCAGCTTCCCTGACCATCTGGTCGCTCACGCCCTCGGGCACCGTCTCGTGCCACGGCTCGTGGTATGCGCCCTAGAACAGGAACGGAGCCGTTGTCAGTCTTATATGCGCAGGCGGGTGTGATGAAGAGACGGACTGGGTAGAGGTTGATTGTCTTGTCCTTTGCGGGGACTCGCTCGATGAATTCTTGCGAGGCTTTGGGGTCGGTGACCTGGGAAATATCAAGGTTACTGGACTGCCACGAGATCGTGTTACATGGAAGACGTACTTCGTCAGCTGTTCCGTGGAAGATCAGGAGCTACACAACGGCGTGGGTGTTAGTATTGGTAGTGATACAGACGAGGGAAGAATGCTCACGGGAAGGTTGACGGGCCAATTCTTGTAATCTCGGGTAACAAGCAGCGCGCCCTAGGCAATACAAGTGTGAGTGCATATTGATTGGTGATGCAAGGAGCACGCACCCCTTCCAGCATGTCACTGACGCCCTTCAGGCATCCGACGTACTTGACAAAACTGTCCGCCTTCGCAGCTTCCACGACGGCTGGGTTATGCGAGAGTTGCTATGCAGTGCAAAGTCCGGACGTCACGGTTGAATTCATTCCAGCGTAAGCCGAGAGACTCACCTCCGCCTTTACTTCAGCGGGGATGGTCATGTACGGCATGACCTTGCTCGCCTTCCCGCCGACCCATTTCAGCACGCTCGAGGCCGGGGTGGTCTGGCGCAAGAGAGGACTGCACGCGATCACGCCTGAGAGGAGCGAGACGGTCGACGCCGAGGGCGGCGCCGACGTGCGCGTATTGAACGCTATACACAACCCTCCCCCCTTTACACACCCATCAGCATCCAAACACGTCTGACCACACCCACCCACGCACCCACGCACCATAGAATGCCCCATCAAGAACAGCGGCAGCGCCCCAAACTGCTCCCGCGCATGCTTCACCATCCACTCCACGTCCTCGAGCTGCTCGCGCCAGCTCGTCTTCGCATACCCGCGGTTGCCCGTGTCCCGCCTTTCCTTGCCCTTCTCGTCCAGCGCCGTCCGCCCGAACCCGCGCTGGTCGTACGCGAACACCACTAGTCCGCTACGCGCGAGCGCGGCGTGGAAGTCTGTGTAGCGCGCGACGTGGTCGATGAAGCCGTGCACGAAGACGACAACCGCGGAGGGCGGGGAGGAGGAGGGCGGCTGGTAGGTGCGCGTGTAGAATTTGGTGGATTGTGGGCCGGGGAGGTAGGCGTCGGTGAAGGGTTGGGGATGTGTCTCGGTCATGGTGGACAGCGGGCGGGGCAGCGTCGGTGCCAGTGGGAACCCAGCTCGGGGACGCTCATGATGGAATGCGGGGAAGCGGCTGTGCGGGGAAGCTGATCCGGAGGCTATAAACAAGCTTCGGGGCCGGACCCGTTCGAGTGCTTTCGTTTGTCTGGAGACTACGCGGGCTGGTCCGAGCTTCCACATTGTGCACGTCTAGTCAAGCAGGTGTGGCGGAATACGAGCAGATTTTTGCTCGGTGCTTCTTGGCGGCAAAACGGTCGCTCGTGAACTTGAACATTAGCAGTACTCTACAAGACAACGCCCCCCACCCTCAACAACCGACACAGAAATAAAGCAATGATAATCATAAGCTACGTCAGGATTCCGCATTCTCATTACAAGCCGACTTCCCTCCCAGCCTCAAAGCCTTACATATCAGACGAGTGTTTGAAACATGCCGTGGCGGTGGCCCTGACAAGGTCTATGCTCGATGGCATAACCCTCGTATCCCAAGCTACATAAATGCTACAATGACACTGGGCATAGCGTCTAGTCCTCTATGTCGTAGCGCAAGTCCCAAAAAGCGAGGCTGCGTTGCCCGTCAGGTTGACGTTCTGACACCCGTACGTCGCTGGTTGGTATTTCGCAGGCGCTCTATTATCCATCGACCAGTGTCAATATCAGCGAAAAGGGCGTGCTCTGAGGAACGGGAATACTGACGAAAGATTCAGGTCGTTGACATTGATGTTGCTGCACCTGTTATCCGGGGAGCAGTCAAGGGACGCGACCAGTGATTTTTCGTTTCCGGAGGACGTCCCCGATATACTGACAGATATGATAATGGTTGGTTCACTTTCACGCGAGGAAAGGTGGCCCACGTACTTGGTAAACCACACGTCTTGGATATATGTATTAGACGGGTAGGCGGCGCAGACGTCAGCCGCCGTCATATAACACTGATCACAGCCGTATCAGCCTAAAGTCCGCATAAGGTGAGGGAAATAGCAAGTGGTAGGTACCTGGTCAATCACAACGGGATAGTCCACGTTCATCTCGGAGAAGTTCTGGAACGTGATGTTCTTGACTATACCGCTGCCGACGTTTGGTCCGGCGAATGCTTTGATGCGGGCCCCGTTTTCTGCGTTGGCCATCCGGATGTTGCTGGGTGGGACGCAAGACATCACCACAAGGTGCTCGGTGAACATTCCAAGTCATATACGAGAGACGGAGTAGGACGTACATAGAGGTGACGTTCTCCACGATATCGTATTCCCCGGCGTATTGGCCTAGGGAACCTACCGATATACCACTGTTTGCAGGTCGGTCAGATTGGGTTGACCTGTATGAGATTGATAACATTTACTGGGAGCCGTTGCAGTTGAGATTCGACACCAAGATATTCGTCGAGTCTAAGAAAAATACATCACGTCCAATCTTGGATTTCTGCGATGCAAGTAAAAGTCGACGTACTGGGCTTGAACGAGACGCAGTCGTCCCCATTATTAATGACCGAATTCTGAATAACAACGCCGTCGCTCCGGTAAATATCCCATCCATCCGTGTTCTTGGCAAGGTGGGAGGACGTCGAGCTAGCGTTGATGTGGATATTGTCGTACGTTACGTTAGAGCTGTCTGTAACCTGCCATCGCGAGCAAGGGTCGTATTACGACTAAACCGGAGGTGAGGTGCACGGGACGTACGAAGTTAATCCATTCGGGACCGTTAAGCATAGTAATATCCTTGACGACCACGTTGCGGCCTTGAGAGATTGTTAGGAGGATAGGTCGGAGGAGGGAGCTGTTGCTGGCGCTGGGAGAATGCAAAAGTGCTTCATTCTTGTCTGGAACCTGATACCTTTAGACCGACTTACAACGCGTCGTACCACGGCTTCATGTGTGAAGATCATGTTAGGCGATAAATAGAGTCTGAGTGCATAGTGGTCACCTGTCCGGTTCCGTCTAGGACGCCCCCGCCGTCCAGACGGATGTTCTCGCCTCCGAGCTTCCAGAAAGTGATTTGATCCTGGAAGGCAAAATAGTATCCATTCTGTTGCAAGAAACTAAGTCGTTGGGGATTGCGGAGCGGAAAACCCAATGCTCACTCCAGACCAGTAATTGATATCCGACGTGAACTTGATGGTGCCTTGTAGATCCTAGGCGTCATCGTCATGCCATGCTGCCAGACAAATAAATGTGAAACGAACGATGTGCTTGTTGACACCTCCAGTCATGTTCATGCGGGTGCCGATATTTAGCACTGTACTCTCCGGAATGATAACTGTATCGCAGGCGAAGTAAGCCTGTACGAAGTTCGGGGCGTCGTCCCCGCCGGTGGCATTCAAGGTGCACGCATCCGCAGGAGACGCAAGTGCGCTGATGGCAGACCATACCAGCAGTAGAGCTAGCGCTGCGAGGAAGTGGAGGGTACCCATGGTGCAGAGTCGAGAAATATACCGCGAGGTGTGGTTGTTGCGAGTTGGTCCATTACTCGTTATATACCACTAGAAACGTCCCTAGCGGCCCGGTGTATTGATACATGGTTCTCAGTCTCAGGTAGCGACACGGGTCATAGGGCTTCTGCCATGCGACGTAACGCGGGAACAGTCAAAGTTCTCATATTCGGTCCGCCATTAGTGTTAAATCAACACTGCCCTTTAAGATATAAAATAAGAAAAAAATACCTGAGATAAAACAGTCATCGACTCATCTGAACGCAGCTCAGAATTGCATGCAAGTTGCAGAGTGTCCTGACGGTAGCAACTTGGAACGCAGCCGGAGCAAGTCCGAGATTTCCTATCCGTGCGAAAGAAGTCGGACACGTCTGCTTCCGAGGGGTCACGTGCCCCTCCAGTTATGTCATCGCCACATTTGGCGTATGTCGTGATCTGGACGAAGTTGCACGGCCGGAGAACAAATCGACTGGAGAAGACTCTATGTTTCCTCGACACTGACACTGTCTGCTTATGCTTTCTACACCGCTGCTGCTGACAGCTCGGACAGTGCTCCGCTGTCGGCACTCGTCCTGGGCCATAGATGCCCAGCTGCTTTCCAGGCCAATAAACCCAGGTGGCCGCCTGCGTGCCAGAGGACGCGTCTTGGATTATGTACGACATTATGCTAGCGAATCGACGCATCAGCAGAAGAATGGACAGTTGGACCCCCTTCCTCCCACAAAACCTGGAACGATAAAACCCGGTGTTCTATCTCGCATCCTACCGCCAGCCCTGCAGAGTACACCGGAAACAGCGTCTTCGTTCCGTAAAATCGTGGCCCTCGCAAAGGCGGAGAGGAAGCCACTCGGAATTGCCGTTGGATTGCTTTTGGTCTCCTCCTCGGTGTCTATGAGTATTCCCTTAACAGTTGGAAAGCTAATAGATTACTTCACGTCCACGAGCCCAGTAGGTACTACGATCGACTGCCTTGACTCATACTGACGTAGCAAAGCAAATACCCTACGGCTTGACACTAGGTCAAGCATCCGCTCTCCTGCTTGTCCTATTCACCGCCGGTTCGCTGTGCAATGCTGGTCGGGTCGTGCTTATGCGACTCTCCGGACAGAGGATCGTGGCGCGGTTACGGGAGAGCACATACAAGGCTGCGCTGAGACAGGAGGTCGAGTATGTGGAGAAGGGTGAGGGCGACGTGCTTAGTAGGTTGAATGCGGACAGCAGTATTGTCGGTGAAAGGTACGTGCGATGCCAACTCCCCACTATGTCAGGACCTTCATGCCGGGAACGTAAGTATAACTCAGAACCTGTCGGATGGTTTGCGTGCGATAGTCATGTCGGGAGTGGGACGTACGTCGGTATTTGTCCCTTATAGCAAAGCACCTGAGTTCACCCATGGCGACCCGTAGTTGGGGCAATGTTCTACATTTCGCCTAAACTTACCTTGCTTATGCTCGCGGTCGTCCCTCCGGTCTCGCTAGGTGCTGTATGTCGTGAAGGGTGGACTTCTTGGATGCAATCTAACTTTCAGATAATAGGTCTTCTACGGTCGCTACTTGAAGCGTCTCTCCAACCAGACACAAGAGGCCCTCGGTGAAATGACGAAGGTCCTACGACTTCTCGCATTTCCGTATACTTCTAACACGGTAGTAAACCCATGCAGGTAGCACAAGAAGCGCTCTCGGCTCTTCGTACGGTGCAAGCCTTCAACGCAGCCCCGCAAGAAGAGCAGAAATTTCACCAGCGCGTGCTCGACGTGCTCGGCCTGCAGCGCCGGGAAGCCGTAGCGAGTGCCATATTCTTTGGTAGCACCGGCTGGAGTGGCAACGTTACCTTATTGGCTTTGCTAGGGTATGGTGAGTGCAAACATTCTGCCAATATCCCATTGAATCTCTGGACAATGGCACAGGCGGGACGCTGGTGTCTAGCGGTGCAATCTCTGTCGGCGATCTATCCAGCTTGCTGCTGTACACGGTATACGTTGGGAGCGGCATGCAGATGTTAACGTAATATTTCCTGCCAGTCATGTTTTCCTCATCTGACTAGACGTCCGACCCACCGCAGCTCCTTCTTTGTAAGTAGTCCCGATCTTGTCCTGTGTTCGCAGAGAAAGACTGGTTATCCTCTCAGTCTTCCATCATGCGAGGCATTGGCGCGGGCACCCGAATATTCGAGCTGTTGGACCGCAACCCCGCTATCCCACCGTACTCGGGCGTGGAGCTCAACCCTCTTCGCCGCGGCCCGCTGAAGTTCGAGCATATCACGTTCGAGTATCCGAGTCGGCGTGGGGTTGAGATCCTGAAGGACTTCAATTTGGACATCCGCGTCGGGGAGAGCATCGCTGTCGTGTGAGTTGGCATACGTTGCTATTTTTGGAGGAAAGCTGATTGGGCTGGTAGCGGCAAGAGCGGGAGCGGAAAGTCGAGTCTGCATGCGTTGCTGCTGAGGTACTACGATCCTGTCAAGGGAAAGGTAACGTTCGATGGGCAAGGTGGGATCTCTTGTGCTCTCGGTTCATATAGTTATTGACGACCCATCTCCCCAGATATACGAGAATTCACCCCAACGTCGTGGCGAAACGTGATTGGCGTTGTTCCCCAGGTGGGTTCTTCTGTCATACTTACACCAGTGCGAAATGACCGACATTGCACGTCCGGTAGGATCCGGTCCTGTTTACGGGTACGATCGCCTCGAATATCGCGTACGGGAATGAAACCGTCACCCGCGAACAAATCGAGGAGGCTGCGCGGCAGGCGAACTGCGAGTTCATCTGGGGGATGCCTCAAGGCTTTGATACGCCAAGTATGTTGTCCCTCTTTTCCAACCCTTTATCTCTCGTGCTGATATGTTGATAGTCGGGAGACTGAGTTTAAGTGGGGGTAAGTTGATCTACCGTGAAGATGATATCATGACCCAGTAATTGGATCGTTTAGGTCAGCGGCAACGTTTGGCCATTGCCCGCGCTCTTCTCAAGCGCCCGGCGATCCTTGCGCTGGACGAAGCCACGAGTGCCCTCGATGCGACCTCAGAACACCGGGTAAACGACGCGATTGACAGGATACTGCTCTCGAGACAGACGACGTGCCTAATAGTGGCGCATCGCCTGTCGACGATCGCTCGGGCGGAAAGAATCGTGGTTCTGGAGGACGGCCGGATTACTGAATCCGGGACGTTCAACGAGCTCGTGAGTCTCCCTCCGCTGTCACTGGCTTGGGCGTCGCTGAATGTGGTTGGGGATGCAGGTGGCTCAAGAGGGCACTCGCTTCCGAGCTTTAATGGCTGCGCAGCTCACTGCTGCCACTGGTGAGAGGGTTACTGCAACGCACGGGGAGGCATAGAGAGGAGTAGCATGCTTAGCGTGGACTTGGAAATAACGATTCATTAATAGAGCGATGTAATGCTAGATTAACCGATGTAATGTAGGGATATGCCCACGATGAAATGTATCAAACATCCCTAGTCTCAGATCACGGTTAATAGGTCGTCAGAAGGCTGTAGTTTTGTAAAGCCCTTGATCACTGTTCCAAAGTTCCCACAGTCAGTAGCAGGCTAATGGCAGTGTAACCTCGTGCTGACAGCAATCGGCGAAACGATAGAGAAGTTTGAGATTTTCCGCACTCAGCAGCCGCTCCACGGCTTACTTATTGGAGTAGGGTATCACCAATTTTGCTCCGCTAATGATCAAAACAAGAGTGGTGAGTCGTGGTGCACTGTGGACCCGAGTGGGTATAATTACCTTTCCGGGCTCGGCTGCCTGCGCGAAAAATTCTGAAAGTTCTCTATCGTTTCGCCGATTGCTGGAACGCGCTTCAGTCGACCTATGCGACCCGAATCGTGAATTACAACTCTGCGAAGCTCCATGCTTGTCTAACAGAATGAACTCGTACCCACCTGAACTCTTGGTGCAGCTTGCGCCTGTTATGTTCGTTGCTGGCCTGGAGCCAGCTGCTGCACCCAAGTCTCCAGCAGCACCTCATTCTCCCGCGCCGAAGACTCAAGATCCCTTCGTGACGCTTTCGACCAGACTGAGAGACGCACTAGTCTCCCAGCGCAAAGTTGCTGTGTGGCAGCATGAGAAGTCAAAGACCTTTCAAGTCGTTCTAGTCGACAAAGTACGTTAGTATGTCGCGTGCATGAGCCTTGAGTCTGCGTACATGAACCTAAGTTGTGTGTAGGAAGTACGGTTCCCCCCGCGTAAGATATACCCTCCGGACGAACAGCAATCCCATGTTGCCCACTCGCCTCTGTCCCCGCTGACTCCGACCTCGCCTTTATATCCGGATGGCTTAATTGCACCGATATGGATTCGCAAACATACCACCCTCGTACCCTCGGTATTCGTGCTGTTCATGCGACTATACGAGCATCCAGCACAGACTCCTAAGTCACCACTAGATCCGCCAGATGCGGACCGAGAGCGCGAGAGAGAGCAGGAGGAACGGCACAGAGACACTGAGCTCTCGGCGGAGATCGCTCAGCGGAAGAAGAGCACCTCAGAAAGAGGGATTAAACTAACTGTGGTTTTGATGGCTAGCCGGAAAATGCTAGGTATGTTGCGTAGTCCGTCTACCGAGAACTCAAGACAAATATACATTGCGCAGATGATCCGTCCCTGGACAGTCGTCTGACCTACATACGACGGCAAAGCGGTCTGGACTCTAGGGCGTCGTTGTTTGTCTTGAGCCCAGTCACTGCTGCGGAGCTGAATGAGTTCGTTCAGAGGTGGGCGGGATACACGCCCGATGATCTTGACTAGGCTCATGTACTGCCATAGCCTGCAGCAAGCTTTGTGGGACCCGGCAATCGAGTATTACACATCTCACTCGAAACGCGTGCGACGCAAACGAAACCGACATACGCAAAGTGGTACCTCCTTTTCCTCTGCGCTGTCTCCCTTAGGTTCTGCTGGCGCTCCCCGTCCGCTGAGGTCAGAAGGCTGGACTGTCCGTTATGAATATAAGATGGCGTGCTTTGCAGAGTTCCGGGGCGAGGAAGAAGTAGCTCTGAAGTACGGCCCTTCATAGCCACCTTTACTCGGCTGACCACGCGAAGACATTACCAGGATGCATATGAGATGTTAGTCACCATGTTCGGGTTGGCCTCCATGTTGCCAGCTCGCACCAAACGATGGGCCGAAGCGAAGGTGTTGGCGGATTGTATAAATGTGAAGGTGAGCAGAGTAGGGTCCCTAACTGAGCGACGTATGTGACGGATGCGCCTACAGATATGCAAGCTGTACCTGTATAATGAAGAACATGCACTAGCATTATCCCAGCATAATTCCCATGTTCGCAAGTTCTCGGATCTGTCAAGGAGCTGGGGTATCGGCGAAGACACCTTCGAATTCTGGAGCTGGATGGCTCGACAGTCAGTTGCTGTCCGATCACGCACCCGAGGAAGTTGCTGATAGCTTCCAGATACCGCATCCTCGCCGAGTTACTAGAACAAGGGATCAGAGCGAACCTCAAGATCCCGAGCCATCGCCCGGCGCCGGCGCTTTCCGCCGCCACACCTACCACCTCAGCGGGACAGCCGGGCGTCGAGATGGATGCGATGCGGTCACTGGGTGTGAATCCCAGCCATACACTCCAGCACCCCGGCTTTTATTACTACACTGCGGCGAGGTGCACTGAGAGGCGCCGAGAGCGGTTCCTGGCCGTCTCCGAGGACGAGGTGAGTCTTCAGCCGATGCATCAAAGTAGTCAATAGTAACAATGCTGCCTCAGGAACCTCGGTCCGTGCCTCCCGGCTATACCAACGAGAAGAAAGTTGACCACTTGACCATAATCTTGGAGGTAAGTCCTTGAGAACTCCGTTCGTCCTGACAGCATGCGTACCTGATGGTTCTCCAGCTATATACCAAGTCCTACGAGTTATTCAAACAATATGCACCAGCGAATACCCAGAACCAGGGCCGGCAGACGCTCTACATCGCGTATCGGATAGCTCAGACATACTATGACTCCGGCAAATTTGACATGGCTGTTCGGTATGCTTATCATGGTGCAACCGCTGTTATGACACTGACAGGCCCCTAGTTTCTTCGAGCGCATCGCAAAGACCTATCGCCGCGAAAGCTGGGGATCAATGATGGCGCCCCTGCTATCGACGTGGTATCGGTGCGCCCAGCAACTCGGCGATGTGGAGTTGAGCGTGAGGCTGCTAATTGAGATGATTGGGCATGGTGAAGATCATCCGTTATGTGATTCATTCCCGTTTCAACCCATTAATATCGATGCAGGTACCGAGCTTGACAGGGAAGATTCCTCCGAACTTGCTGAAGATCTTCTTGCAGTCATGCAGGTGAGCTCATCCAACAGCTATTCGAGACTCAGAGCTGACAGGACCTTGGTAGAGCACAGCACCTTCTTCCTCAGACGAAGCAGTCGTGGTCGATCTGTCTGAATCTGAGCCTATATGTACGTGACCATATGCTATTGCCACGAGCCCGTCCCAGTGACATACCATATCTTCAGTTGATTCTGAAGTTGTCTTCTGGAAATCGGAGGCTACAGTTGAGGAAGAGGTGGCCTTCCAGCTTACCCTCACTGCGCCCTCTGGTATTTCTATCGCCTCTTTGCCTTTCACGGCACTATCTGTCTTCTTCTCGGGAGATGCCCCGTCTTTCACAATCCAACACGTCACCGAGCCGGAGGCACGCGAGGGGCGAGGTCATGTGAGACGGGTAGACTTGGGTCACGTTCCTTTACCCGAGTACGAAATGGAGGCCAGCGGGAAGGAAGTCACTACGCACCTGCGCTGGCATCCGGGTGAAGCTTTAGTACTTACTGGGAACGTCAAGGCCCCCATCCCCACCGTCATCAAGGTAGTGATAGTGCTTCTGATCCCTGATCCTTTCTCTGACCACATCCCTTCCGTTGGCAATGGTAGATCTGCAGAGTAGTGTTGGCCTTGAAAGAGGGTAATTGGTGGATTGAAATACCTTTCGACCCAAATATTGCACGAGTGTCATTCGTTCCCAACCCGAGATGGTTGTGGTCACTAGATCCAGTTCGATATCTTCCTCTCCAGAGGCTGGAGTACTCATTCGTGACGTAGGTACCCCTTTTCTGGAACGGGTTAACGAGCCTAGAATCTTTCCTTAGAATTCGGTATCAACCTCATCAGCTCCGAATACGCTTGCATCACCAGGAGCCAGCATACCTTAACGAAGAATATCCTATCACCATCGATATCACAAATATTGATGGCCGGGAACTCGAGGTGGTTATAGATGCCTTACTGCACCCAACGGAACTGGATGATGCCGGTGTGTACACAACATAGCGCCCCATGGAATGGCCCTGACTTGGCCGGAACAGAGGATCACATTAGGTTTGGCGAAGAAGAGTCAAGTAGCCTCATCAAAGGCATATCCTTCGGCATTCTCGCCCCTAGTGTCAATGTCTTCAAGACATTATATCTGACAAGCACGTGTGCACCGGGAGACAGGATGCTGGATATATCTATTCAGTCTCGTTCGACTGCAAGTCTAACGGAACCCAAGAGTCCTGTATCCCCAGCTACCGACTCAAGTGTGTCGTTAGATACAAGCGAGGAGTTGCATACACTGATTGTTCCGACGGTGGAGGCTATCAAGGTCAACCATGAAGTCACATACAGAAGGACTCTCGATGAAAGTCAAGATATTGACAGTATCTCAGCCCCAGATGCCGACTTCTTGACAAGAGCCCATGGTATCCACGCGGTCGTGGCGACGACCCTCGAGTGTGTGGGACCTTGGGGTCTCAGTATCGAGCGTGTTACGCTGCACAGGAAGGTAAGGTATTCTCAATGATCATAGTTCACATGCTAATATTTGACTAGGGGCACATGATAGCTAAAGTGCTTGATACCTCACTTTGCGAAGAAGATACCACGAATACCGGTATGTAGACATATGATTCGTCACTCAAGAGCATGGCTGATCCTTTGCCAGAATGGCTACCTGGTGACGAATATCGTGTTATCTCTCGGCTGCACCTGACTTTGGACGAGGATGAAAATTACGAAGAGAATCCGGTGCCTGAGCCCGCAAACTACGAAGTATTCTGGAGGAGGTGAGGTTTCCTGGGCTGCTATTGGGTAAAGCTAGCCGCTGATGCATTCCAGGATCCTTCCGAACGGTGAATCCGGACCGGCGTCAGTATCTCGGTTCCCTATGCCATCATTACAGCCACCAGGAGACGGATTGGTTGCACTAGTCGACGTGCCTTCCACAGCCAGGCTACATAGTCCCTTGCCCTTGCGTCTTACGGTTCGCAACGGCCAAGTATCACGATCCGCCAATATCACCGTCCAGCTGGAGCCAGAGCCCTCAGATGGCTTCATAGTTGCTGGACTCCGGAGCGGACGCTTACCGATCCTATTGCCGGGAGCTGAGGAGACCATCCTGTGGCAGCTTATTCCTCTGGAGTGTGGATTCGTCAAGATACCCAATATCAAGGTCATAGACAGACGAAAGGCTGCTGCGGGTAGGAACGCAGTTCCTGGAGAGACCGATACTGAGGGTGAATCCGTGAAAGTGATTGACATACGATGGGAGGGTAGAGGCACAGATGGCGGCGAAGATCAGATGTACGCCAGGCGCAGCATGGACTCGACTGATTCTGAAAGCGATAGGAGGCCCCCTGTACCCACAATCCTCGTTCTACCATGAGAGGTACAGTTGTTCAAGACATTTGTGTTCATGAATACGATTGTTCACTCTGTTGACTTTGGGAATCCTACTGTTAGCCACGCCAACCACATGATGACATAGGGTAACTGACTATCAGTAATATACTATTGTTCCTTCATAAATAAGTGTCCGAGGGGGAATGAGGGAGTATGCACTACATGGTGCTCGCACACCCTTGGCAGGACCTGTCCATCGGCGATCGCAGATGGGACGTCCCTTGCTAGGTAAGTAGGGTGTGCTTAATCTCTATACGTTGTTACCCTTAGGCAGTCGGACAGGTGTGTAGCTAGCGTTAACCGTCCGTATAGACGGTCCCTGCTTCACCCCCACCCCTCGGCGGACGCACAAGCTTATGCCGATGACTGCGAGGATAACACCAATTAATAAATTTCCTGCGAGCAAGCCCAGCACCGCAGGCCCGTAGTGGTCAAGCTTCTTCGCAATTGTATTCCAGCCGGATGGATCTGACGACGAAGCGGATTCGGCACTGAGCAGCTCAGCATCCCTGTTGCCGCCTTTCGAAGCGGACGATGTCTCACTGTTGGCGAGAACGGAGTTGAGCAGCGTGATGTACTCGTCGGGAGTCAGGGTAGGGGGCAGGTTCTTCAGCATCTGGGATCTCGAGTACTGGAAATCCTTATGTGCATCCGCCGTGTCAGTCGTGGTGGCAAGGAGCTGGATGTATGGGTCGGTAACGTTTAAACTGTCTTCAGGCTGGACATAGTCGCCGAAGTCGAATCTAGATAGAGGCTGCGCGTGAGTCCAGTGGGACTCGATCGCAAACAGGAGTAGCACTCACACAGCATAAACGTTCTTCAAAAAGGCATCACCGAGCAGGAGATCGATACCTGGTAAAGCGCGGGAATGCGCTGCAGCAACAAAGGCGCTCTGGCAGACAGTCGCGTTCGTTCCGTTAGGGGCCCAGAGGACTTGAATGGATGTGAGGTCAAGTGGATGGATGCTTATTTCCTGGCCTCTGTGAGGTCGAATCCGTCGTCAGAACTTCCCTCAAAACTGCAGATATGGGGAAACCTACCCAAAATTAAATGAAACGTTAGCGGCGCCCATGCAAGGCACCACCCACTGGGAGTCCACTTCGCTGTACACGGCTCCAGGGATTGAAGAATATATGAAATCTAACGTGGTCTTGGCGATGGGGCCAAATGTATATCCTGTGTCAAGGTTTGCGACAGCTTTGCCCTTGGGAGTTGATGGATCGCTGGAGTCCAGGGTGTTAAAGTCAAAGGACTTCCCATTGACCGTGAGCTCGCCCAAAATGATATTCCAGCGAGGTGGCGAATCCAATAACTTTCCCTTCGGCAGAGCGACTGGCAGCTTAGGCGTCTGCGCGACCTTCTCGTACCATCGGCGTACTCACTGATCGTGAAGGTACCGTTGTTGGGATTCTCGATGTCAGTATTGCGTCCGATGAGGATACTGATGAAGTTAGGCTGGGAGGTGTTCTGATGGAAGATGTTGGACAAGACAGTGCGGCCTAGCGTATTACCCCAAACGGACTCGAGACCTGTTGCGATCCCAGACAGTTGGTCGAAGGCTAAGCCCAATATGCCGTATATCCCCAGGGTGAAGAGCGGTTCGTTGTCGTACTAGCTGGCAGGTCATGATCAAGTCGGCTGCAAAGCTCAGCGTGCTCCACGTACTGCGTTGACATTCAAGAAAGCTGGAGAATCATGAATCAGCACTCTGCGACAGCCAGTTGCGTCGAAAAGGGTGGCAGACCTTGCGAGGGGATCGTGTATGGACCAACTTCTACCTCAGCGAAGTCAATCCTCCCGGCAACGGATCCAATGCCGTACGTCAAGTTGGCATGATCAAATGAAGTCGTGTGGGTCAGCTTTGGCTGCTTATCCGGTGAGTATATCCAGAGGTCAGAGGAACCGGTGTCTAGTTGCACGAGGACATCTATACCGTCGTGTCAATGATGATGTCCCACAGAAGGTCAGAGAATCAGCTAATTACCGACTCCTCCGACTTTGACAGTAGTTGTATACTAGAAGCAGGCACTCAACATGCGTGAAGTGACGTCAAAGGTTCGCTACAAGACTTACCACAATATCCTGCTGGAAGTCGGAGCTAGGGTCACCGATGGTAGTCGTGAATCCGGATGCCGATCCTGACATCTTTCCCGCTGAAGGAATGCCCGGCTGAGAATGACCTCGTGAAAAGAGGTAACTTCAGAGCACAGGCGCTATGGCACTGAGAGAATAAGAAAGCAACTAGGGAGAACGTCGACCACCTCATTTAGTTCACCGTTCAGCCCAGAAAAAGATTGTGTAGGCACTCGCAGCGTCTCCGATTTTATATTACATTTAGAGGTACATCGGAGACACTAACAGGGGTTGGGTGCACGATCTGGCCACCCGAGTGACGCCAAAAGCGAGACGCCTTAGACTTGGGACTACGCCCCAAGACGCGAGACCAAGGGGTCTTGAAAACCTTATTTTGCCACCCCACCTGAACGCCCCCCCTGGGTACCCCACCTCGCCCCCTCTGACTTCAACGCTCGAGCATCGGTCTACATACAGTACACGTCACCGCCTACGCTAGTATAATAAGGCCGTCCGCTACTCTGCTCGACACCCCGTCCTCGCTGTCTTCCCTGTCAACCACCATGCCCTTGCCGCTTCCGGCAGCGGTCCGGGTAGAAGTCTGGTAGCAGACCCCAACCCTAGGGCGTACCGCCACGTGTCTGGTGACATAGGCGCGCCGCTTCTTCGAGGCTGCGTCCCGCCTTTCCGGCACCTCGTCAGTAGGCCCGTCGTCGTCGTCGCCGACGATGAGCATAGCTATAGTACTTGTATGTAGTCATAAAAACATGGAATAAATTTC